CAAATAACAACTTAATAGCAGCTAAAACAGCATCGAATTCATTCAAATTTTCAAAGTCTGTGCTACAAAAAGTCATTTTAAAAACATTTGATGCATTCTCAGTCCGGTCACCCCTTAAAGCTCAAGTTATTTTACAAAATCTATATTAAAACGGCCTGCGTTTTCAGACTAGTTAAATACTATGACTATGATTTAACGGAGTCTGTAATGTGGGTGTGCATAATGAAACCTCTGTTATATAAATATATTCAACGTAACATTAGTGTCATCAGCGGGTGTTATAGTCTACTCGTGATTTTTTTACTTTATAATATAACTTCATTTATGAAAAATTTTTTTTATTGAATTGCACGCAGAAGAAATTTAACAAATTACCTTCATTCAAAAATTGCGAGTAACAGGTAATTTTTTTTTTCTGTGCCGGCCCCCTACCCCTCATAACTTAAAGGTAAAGGTACCTTTAACTAACAAGAAAAGCAAAAAGTAATAATCAACGAAGTAATTTTTAGTACAATACGAATATATTGTTCATTCATTGGCACATTTTTTTAAATATCTCGCAAAAATGTGTTGATATTTTTGTTATCATAAAAATATTAAGATATTTTTTGAGATATTAAAAAAAATGTCAAAAATTACAAATTTTTTGCAAATGTTTTTTAATAAGAATTTAGTAAAAAACTCTTAAAAAATCTGTATTTATATTCTGTATACATTTATACATTTATATTTATGTATTAAATATTTATATTTATATATTAAATATTATATACATTCTACATTTATATTCTGTATTAATAAATTTGGAATATAGATTTTTTAAAAGTTTTTTACTGAAAACTTTAAAAAATTACTAATTTTTATTAAAAACATTCGCAAAAAATTTGTAGTTAAGGATTGACGAACAGTTTTTCATGTTACTAAATATTTAAATAAAAAGATTAGCGTATAATTAATTGTTATAAAAAGGTAAGATATATCGCGTTGAAAAGTTACTACAATTATTTTTAACGTAATTTCTTTTTTGTAATAAATATTTTTACATATTGTTATTCAAAAGTTAATGTGATTTTTTTAAAAATTGATTACTTCTTTTATGTTACCGCTAATTTAAAAGTTAAAAAATGATAAAAAGTAGCTTAACCAAAATAGCTCTACGCGTACGTAAAAATCGCTTAAGGCGTACGTAAATCGCTCTGGGCGTAACGCTTTAAAACAAGGCCTGTATATATATATATATATATATATATATATATATATATATATATATATATATATATATATATATATATATATATATATATGTGTGTGTGTATATATATGTGTATATGTATATATACAATATATATATATATGTATATATATTTATCTATTGATTTATGTTGTTTTTATTAATTTATTTTTTTACTTTTATGTAGTATATACCATAGAAATGGTTAATTACATTAATATTTAAAAAAAAATTGAATATATAGCTTGTTAGCAAATCTTATACATTTTTTTTTTTGGAAAAATAAACTTTATGAAAAGAAAAGGGGTTGTCCATTAATTACGTCAAAAAAATAGGGGGAGGGGGTCTGAACTTTTTTGACAATTGTTGACACAGGGAGGAGTCAATTAAAGTTGATGTCAACGATTTTTTTTTTTTTTTTTTTTTTTTTTTTGAGTTTCATTGCTTAAATAACAGAAAATTAAAGTCAAACTATATAATAAACTATAAAGTTATTTTATTAATATTTATATTTTAATAATATTTATATTAATATATCAAAAGTTATATTAATATTACTAGTATTTTACTTTTGACAAACTTTTATTTGTCTGTAATTACCAATATGCAGAATTAATTTCGGACATGGGCGATTCTCAAATTAGTGAAACAAGAGAAGTGATTTTTAAAACGCTTATTAATTATTATTATTAATTTAGTTTTTTACAATCTTTTTGCATATTTTTATGAAAAACTAAATTTACATTTTAAAATACATTTAGAAGTTTTTGTATAGTGTATGGAAAAATATTGATAATTATTCTACAGTTAGTAAGTTTGAAATTTTTTAATTTTTAATATCAGTATATTATTTTCCATTTATCATAATAAATAAATATTTAATATAGTGTTAATTACATAAAAGCGTTTGCATAAGTATTTTAATATAATTTAAACAAAAAATCTAGCTTTGTAAAAATATTTATATATTTATTACAATTCAGTAAATAGTCTTTTTGTGATATCACACACGTAACAAAAAACGATAAAGAGTTTTATTTGTGAGCAAAATAAAAAGTATTTTTAGTTATAAGTAAAGAGTATTGATGAAACAAAATGAAAAAAAAATTATTATAGTATAGTAATATATAAAAAAAAAAAAAAAAATGTAAGTGTATAACGTTACACATAACACAGTTTTATAGTTAATGATATATATGTGACATTACAAAGATAAGAATATTAAATTCAAAAAATCAGGAAATAAGTAGTTGGTGTGGATTGGAACAAAATCATAAATATTATATGATAAAAAATATTTTTGTATATAAATGCCTTTAACATGAATATAGTATTGATATAATTTGTTTTTTTTTAAACTAATCTCAATTTTCTTTATTAAATTTAACAAGAAAACAACTACATTTTGAAAGTTATTTTCAGTTTGAATTTGCTTGAAAAGATGCAATTAAGTAATTTAATGAATTGATTTTAAGGTCTTTGTAAATTTTAATAGTTTCCTGTTTAAGTTTAGGTTAATATATAATGAAAATAAAAATTTAGATGACCTCTGTTGTTCACAATCACTTAAGTCTGCAATACAAAAACAAACTTAATAAATACCTCAAAAATGTAAATCCAGCAGAGCAGGCCATGTGGTAGTAGTGGAATAAGACAACTCTGGCCATCTTGAATTACAATCAAAAAATGGGTGCAAAGGAGAAATAATAGAGGAATTATCTACTTTATCTAAATTTCAGGAACATGTTCGTATAAAAGGAGTTCAAGCAGCTGAAATTGAAAAAGACAACAGAATTGCAGGGAAAAAAGTTCTTCAAGTGCATTTTGCAATGGCATATGTTTGTGAATATTAAAATGAAGTACAAAGTGCACATTACAGTAGGAACACTGTTCAATTGTTTACTGCAACAATAATTAATTGTTAATTGCAAAACATATCTTGTCTGCTCAAACACTATAGACAAAGGCAAAGACAGTGTTTACTGCTTTATTGGCAAATTATATGAAATACTCATGTCTGAAAACTGTAATAATGATACTGAACTCTTTTCACTGATGGCCCATCATCAGAAAATAAAAATAAATTTATAACCAGTTATTTTTGCAATATGACAAAGCATTTGAGTGGTAATATTTTGGATCTTCCCATGGTTGTAGATCGTGTTAAAGAAAGAGCCATATATCTTTTTTGAATGAAATGTATTTCATTCTAAGGATTTTTTCAATGTTCTTAAACCATTAATGACAGCTACTAATATTCTCTATATTAGCATTGATGAAATTATTAGTGAAATTGAAAACAAAAAACCTTGGTTAGAAGTCAAAAAAACACAGGGAATACAAAATATTTATCATGTCTATGCTTTCAATGGGTGCTTGTCATTTTTAATATAAGTTACTTAAAGTCATCTGAATTTCAAATAAACTATATTAATGACATGCAAGCTCCGGAAATAATTCCCCAATCTTCAGAAATGGCTATTAATGCCTTACTTGCTTGTGATCCGAGTGCCTTGTGCAGAGCAATGAAACTGTGAAACAATGAAACCCTGATAAAATAAAGCTTAAAAAGTTGGAACTTTAAAAAAACTATAAAACAAAAGTGCTACTCTGTTCAATCTTTATTTCAGTTATGTTAAAAAATTGAAAATTAACAAAAAAATTATTAAATTATTAAAAGTTCATACAGTATCACACGTAGCAAAATTTGTCACATGCATAACACTAAAGTTTATCATTTATTTTTTTGAAGTTAGTGAAATAATGAAAAAGTATTTTTTTATAAACATCATTATGTTGTCTGTAACTTAAAAAAAACCATTAAACTAATCATAGCTAATTTGCCGAAAATTTTAATCAAAGTTAAAAATTCAAATTTATAGTTTTTTACGCGTCACACACATAACACAGCTAATAAGTTCTTTTACTAATATGTGCAATAAACATATTATTAAGAGAAATATTATTTTATATCAGACATTTTATATCCTACTATAATAATATAATATATAATAATAGTAATATATAATAATAATAATAATTTATCGTGTATATCTGTAGTAAACATTTTTTTATGGCCCCTCATATTGGAAAATATTTATACCAGACACAGGTTGCACGAGAATCGCCCACATATATAAAATAGAAAAAAACATACACATTTTTACCTTCTATTTTCTATTCACCTTCTATTTTCTATCTTCTTCTTTCTCTTAGCTGTAGCAATTTTTTTCTTATCTTTAGCTACATTAGCAAAATTAATTTATATTGAAATAAAAAACACTTATATCAAATAAAACAACTCCATAAGTTTGAACAAAAAAAAACAGGTTTATCTGTTTCTAAAATTTTCTTTTTTGGATACTTTTTGGTTTATTTCAATTTATTTCAAGTATAATCAATAGTAACTCAAAATTTATTTTGCATATTGTTATTCAGAATTAAATTTTGCACAAAATTGTGTTCATAGTTTTTTAGATTAAACTTTGCAAATCTAAGTTATTTTGGTCTACTTTTTAATTTTATAATGATACATTTCATATTGAAATTAAACTCAATTTAATAATAATATTTTTTTTTTTTACATACTTTTATTTGGTTTAATCTCATTTTTATTTAAGCAAAAAAAAAAATTATTCCAAATGATAAATGTTACAACATTTTCTTAAAATTTCAGTAATAAGGATTCATCCTTATTCAACCATTTCTATGGTAAAAAAAAAATTATTTTTATTAGCTTATATTTTATACATAAAAACTATTTTTTTAGTTTCTTAATAAAAAGTATGGATCAAATATACCATTGGTTTTAATGAACTCTTTTAACACTCATGAGGATACCAAAAATCTTTTGCGAAAATATATTCATGTGAATGTTAACCTTCATTGTTTTCAACAAAGTCAATACCCTCGTATTTATAAAGAATCCTTGCGAATTGTCACAAAATCTATCTCGAGTGGTGAAGTAGGAAGGTTCTTAATTAAAATTTCTTATTTTATAATGAATTTTTTATGTTACTTATTGTCCTAACCCAGTTTACCAATTTATACTTAGAAAGTAATGCTTAGTTAGTTATTCAAATAAAACTAATGATAACAATGCCAATAAATATTAAACACAAATTATTGTATTTAATATTTATTGGCATTGTTATCATTAGTTTTATTTGAATAACACTAAAGTAAAGTTAAAGTCAATAAAATTTATGTTTAAATTAATTTTGTGGAATCTCTTCCATAAGTTCTTTGTATTTCTTTTTTATTGCTCAGTCTAAGCAATGGAGATTTTCTGTACTACATATCGCAAAATTAATTCTCTAATGTCAATTTTGCTGATAATCACATGAACATTTGAATTTTGGATGAGTAATTCAAAACTGAACAGAAATAATTTTTGTTCTGTTTTAAATGTCATTTAATAAATATTTTTATTTCAATTTATATTTTATTATTTGTTAAGTAACATCAAAGCGCAACATTTTTAAATCGTAACAATTTTAAAATTTAAATGACATTACTAAAGTTTATATTACATTTGCTTCAATTATTTTGAATATATTTTGTTGGTAAAATAAAGGAAAGTTAATAAAATAATATTAAAAAAAAAAATTAAAAAAATTAATAAGTTAGACAGTGATTTTAATTAATTACAATTTATATTAAAATGTAACAACCACAATTATAAATTAATAACTTTAACATGATTTAAAATTGATAAGATAATTATAAAAATTATATTTTTTGGAGAACAATCAGTAAAAAAAAGCATTCATTGGAACGCATTCCCAACTATAAATGCTGTTGATAAAATTTTTTTTTTTTTGATTTTATTTGGATGATTGCTATGTAATCTCGTTATATTCTATATGTTTTAATAAATATTTTGAATATATATCATTTGAATAATTGACTGAAAAAATTTTTCAACTGAAAAAATGTCAATACCTCAATTTGAATTTATTTCTCACTTAATATCTAATTCTAGTTTAAAAACTTGTTAAAACAATGAACGCTTACTTGGTCAGGATCTAATGAGTCACAATATATTTCATCATCACTCTCGACAACTTCTTTGTTAATGTCTGAATAAATAAAAAACTAAACGTAAATTTTAATTTTAGTTAAGATTTTAATATATTTAGTGTTTGTATATTCTATACTTTATTTCTATATTAACCTTTAAAGATAATAAAAGTTAAAAATTTTAGAATATTGATTTTAGTTGGTATCCACCTGGACATGGTGATATGTATCAAGCATTTTATAATTCTGGACTTCTGGAACAATTTATTGCAGAAGGGAAAGAATATGTATTTGTTTCAAATATTGATAATTTAGGAGCCACAGTTGATATATGTATCTTTTTCTTTATTTATGACTGATGTTGAAAAATCATTATTAAAATGTCAAGACAAAAAAAAAGAATTTTTTCTTTTTTTCATATCATAATTTTCCATAACTATATATGTTAGCCATTTTAAACTATTTACTTACTCTGCCAATGGAAGAGAGATGTGATTTTGTCATGGAAGTAACAGATAAAACGAGAGCTGATGTGAAGGTGAAAATACTTAACTTGGTCATTTTAATTTAGTTTTAAGTTCAGTGTTTTTTATTTTCAAAAAATGACACATTTTTAACAATTGTGAAATTTTATTGTTCCAAGTATAAAAACTTTTTTTTTTTTAAATTGTTTTAAACAAATTGTTAATAAAAAATGATTTAAATAACTTCTCAGATTGTTTTTTAAATTTTGTCAATTAAAAAATAGGGAGGTACACTTATTGAAGTTGAAAAAAAGTTAAGATTGTTGGAAATTGCTCAAGTACCCAAAGAACATGTAAGTTATATTATTTTCATCTTTATAGAATCTATATTGATTTTATTTATTTGATTGGTAATGTTAATAACTAAATAATACTAAATAATTTTTAAAAGTTTCTTTTTGTTTTTGTTTGTCGTGTAAAAAAATATTAAAAACAATTCATGCAAAAAAATTTAAGTTCTAATATGTTAAAAATAGTTTTAGGTCAGCTTTGTTTATTCATTTATATGCAAATTTGTATGAGACTTATCAATTTAACAAAAGAGAAGTTAGATTTAACTTTATTTAATTGTATTTAGGAGTGTTTTTTTTTGTAGGATGATTGTAGGCGTTAATTATAAAATTGGTTATTGGATTATCTTAATCTTCCTTGAAGAACTTTATCAGATTCACTTAATGAGTGTACCTTAGTAGAGTATGTCAAGAAAGATTAAGGTGGTTTGGGTGCAGATAATTGGGTGTCAGATTGTAGAGAGTTAGACTAAAAAGTAGAGGTAGGAGAACTTGGAGAGAGTTTGTGTTACAGATAACATAAAAAGATCTTAGTTAAAGAAAGAAGATGCTTACAATTCAGTTGCAAACAGGAAAAGTGTGCGATCGCACTTAATACCTGACCATGCATATAATAATTTTTTTAAAGGTTGACAATGGTTTTTTAGCACTTCAAAAATACACTGAAAATTATAAAAAGCTTAACTGTAAAAAAAGGAAAGAAATCTTAACGAAGGAGAAATTAAAAAAAAAAAATAATTAAAAACTCTAGAAAAAACTTAACTGCTTGGTGTAGTTAAGGTGATTTACAAATTATTTGAATTCTTTTATTTGAAATTTGTATGGTTTTATCACCGTATTATATCCAAACAAAAGCTTTAGATGGTATATATTTTTTTTCCTCAGGTTTTTTTTTATTATTTAAAGAAACTTATCTTTTTTATATATAATTTTCAAAACCTTTTTAGTACCCGTAATAGTGAATCTAATGATAGTGTTCTTTGGAGTCTTTAGATCGATTCTGCTCATTGGCGTTAACATGAATTTAGTTAAAATCTTTTTAAAAAGTTACTTAATTTACTACTGATCCTAGTTCTAATCTGTTCTGACGTATATTAACTATATATAGTTGTTAAAACACAATATTTCTATCAATTTTCACAAAAAATACTAGAATTCTGACCAAGAAAGAGCTTATAATTAAGAAAAATTGCCAATAAACGATCAGAATATATCATATTGTTAAACTATAATGTTCATTTCACCTAAAAAACGTATTAGTTTAAAATCTTATTCAAATTTGGATGAGCGATTGTGTTTTTAAGATAATTAAAGAAGAAAAAAAAGAATCTTTGGTCAGGGTTTTTTCACTACAAAAATTTATATTATATGATACTGCAAAATTTATCATTTTAATACTTTTTGTCTTTTCATAATTCACAGACCTGCCATTTAACGGAAATATGTCGTAGTCAACAAAATATCATGCAGACGCTATAATATTTTAAAAGTGCCTACACTGAATAATATAAAACTAAAAATTTAAAACTCTTTAAAATTATTTAATTATGCTTATAACAACATTAAGGTTGAATATCTTTAAAACTTCGATTTTTAAATGTTTTATATATAATATAATATTAGGTGAACTCTTTTTAATAGAAAATTAATCATAAAATAAAATCGTTCATAAAATTATATTTGAACATAGTCATAAAATGCAGAAATTTTTTGAAATAAATATAATTTTTTATAATATTCTATAGAGTAAAACAGGGTAAAATGAAATAGCGGGTAGAATGAAATAGTTATTACAATGTTTACTCTTTTGCTCCTAATTAACTATTGAATAATTTTTTTGCAAATATTTTAGTAAGATTGTATAAAATTTTATTTTTAATAAAAAAAATTTTGTTATAAATTTAGAAGTTTTTGAATGCGTAATAAGATTTTTTTTATTTGTTTGAAAAAAACTTATAGCTCTCGGAAATTAAATTCAGTATTATTGAATTTAAAATGTTTACTGGTACAACTTTTTACGCTGATCAAGAATTTTTTTCAAAATTAAATTTGTTACTTAATAAAAAAAATTATGAGTTAAAAATGGAAACGGAGTGTTGTGGGGTTGAATGAAATACGCTAATAAAAAAATACAAAGCAATAGCTTATTTCTTAAAAATGGCTTTTTTTTTATTAGGTCTCAAATGACCAATAAATCTCCAACTATAAATTTATGTATAAGTTCCAATGAATGAATTTTTCTAACTGAATTTAAATGACTTTTACTTACTGCTTTTATAAAATGGTTCTAATAAATGAATGAAATACGATACTCTCTTGTTAATTACGGTCACATTGTCTGCAAATAACCTTCAATATTGTAGTAACTCAGACTATTCAAAAGTAAATTCAAGAAGAGGTTGCAAAACAACTGCAATCAGCCCGATCACTTGCAGCAGCTTTGCAACAAATGTTTCGTATCCAACACGTTGACACACAAAAAAAGAAAAAATGTAGATGTGCCAAGATTCCAAAGGGAGTGTCTCAACAAACCTGAAATACTTGAGAGGTTGAAAGATGCTGAGAGCAAAAAAGCAACAAACCAAGCTAAAAAACAGCATAAGCTTATCTCTAATGGAGAACAGCAAATGAACCAAGCATTAAGTCTAACGAAAATATTAGCTGCAAACCAATTCAGGTGTTAAAAGTGCCTAAAAGTTTTGGGCGAAACTTCAGCATATCAAAATATGGAATAGTGCCAGTGTGAAAGTTTAGATTGCAAGGTTTGGCTATATCAAACATGCATACCAAAGCGATACGTAAAAGACGCTAAGTTTTATTGCACCAAAAAGTACCGCACAAGTGAAAACTCAACCTCTAGTACCTCTAAACGACTCAACATCATCACAAGAATAAAAAAGCTTATTTTATTTGATTGATTTTTTTAATTGTTATTAATTTTTTTTTTAATTGTTGTTATTGATTGCTTTTTGTTTTTTTAATAAAGTGTTGTTTTAATTACATTTATATTTGCGTATTTCATTCTCCCCGAATGTCAGTGTAGAATGGAATAAATTTTTTTTAATCAATAAAAGTTTCATAAAAAACTTTACAAAAAAATTTTCAGATTTTTATATATTTAAACACAGCTCAATATTCTATACAACTAAAAAAAAAGGAAAAATCTTTTTTCCGTAAAAAATTAATAATTACAATCCTTAACTATTCCATTTGACCTCATTTTACTCTATATTATATTTAATGTTTTTTATTTAAAATAATCATTAAAATTTGTTACTTTATTTAAAAGCGTTTAAAAAAATTTATTGTTGTTGTTTTTGAAACTTTCTAATTAAATGGTTTTTACCACTAGTGTTGTATAAAAACATTAGAAAGTTTTAAAAACAATAAAAAAAATTTTTTTTTTTTAGTTTTATTAGAATTTTTGTAATAGCATTTTTTTCAAATCAATGTTATTTAAAATTCTTTTTTATTTACATTATTTATAATTATCAACTAAGACTTAACAATATTAGATATAATAGATCAATCACAGTAAGTAGCACTAAATAATGTTAAGTGCAGTACTTATGTGATAACATATTCCATACAAGGGTATATAATAGACTTATAAAATATAATAGACTAATAAAGATAGAGAATGGACACAGTAATAAGAAAATCAATTAATGAGTGGCAACTTCAAAAATAATCAGAGAAAATTTAATGTAGTGGATTTTCTAAGAGTGGTCATTCAAAAATAATCAGAGAAAATTTAAAGTAGTGGATTCAGCAAGTTGCCATTCATCAATACAGGAATATCAACAGTATTGCAATACTTTTTAGAAAACAAATATGTATGTGTTAAAATTTACGATTGCCATTTAAGTTTCAAGTGGTCACAAAAGAGAGATCAAATTCACATCATAAGATGGCACATGAGAGCAATGATGTAATTTTGTGGTACTACAACGATTACTGAAAATGAAAAATTTTGCTGTCCATTGAAAAAATCATCATGCCACACCTTATTAAAAGTTTTGATATGTCGAGAATAATAGCTCTTGCTTCCCGCTTTCATCTAATGCAATAATAACTTTTTTTGTTATTACAGTTTACAAATCAGTAATAGGCGACGAGAATCAAAATTGTTATTGTTGTAGAAACGATTGCTGTAGAGTTGTTGAACTCAAGATGAGATATTAAAAGTTTGTTTGCCTTTTTTTGCCAATCTTGCTTTATCCTTGGGAGAGGACCAGAAACATGTAAGAAAGAGGGACTGTTAGACTTGATATTTTATTATATTTTACTGAATACTTATTTTGATTATATTAATATATTAGTGGTTTATTATTGTTTTCAGGTAGAAGATTTTAAAGCAGTTTCAAAATTCAGGTTTCATAGTTTTTTTAATTAGTTTTAGAGTATTTAATAAATATATAAACTATATACATAAAGCAATGTTGAATTTTTTAAAAACAAATATTTTGAAAATTGTATAAGTTTTCTTTTAGTTTACAAATACTGTCAGATAAATGTTTACTTAATTAATGAAGGAATAATTAACTTACGTAACTTAATGTGTTTTGAAAACTAGTTTTGCTGATTTTCTGATTTAATTGATTTTTCAAAGATGTTGCCTTAGTATGCAACTAATGTTTCAAATTTAGACAGCATCTTTGGAATGTTGTTCTATAATTAGCAGTTGTTGTAGAATAACTTTCTGGGAGTGTTGTCTTCATATAATCTTTCTTTTTATTCCTGTTCTGTTTGTTTACAAAAACTATTTAATATATAAGTAGATACTTCACACAGTGTTCTGGTTGGGTGCACAATATTAAGTTTATAGAACAACTCCTTAACCATTTAGAAAGACATATTTCGTAAAGTTGTAATAAAATAGTTTATATTTGCCCAATAGTTATTGTTTCAATGTCTTATCTTTTTTTTTTCAATTTAAACTATTATTTGGATTAACTCTAGGTACACATGTCTTCACAGTATCATAATACCTTTAATAAATTCTTTGTTAATACTAATTTTTTTTCTTTGCAAATAAAACCTTTTTTTTTTACATAATTAGTATACTAAAGCAAGTTTTGAGTACATAGAAGATATGCATGATCTTGCAAAAAGTGGCTTGAGAATTTCTCTTAATAATTCCTAAAGTAATTAATATAAGTGCCTTGAGCACAAGAGCATATTTTAATTTGCTTTATTTTATATTATTAAATGCATTATAAACAAACATCTATCTGATTAGTATCAATTTCTTTTATATTTATTTCTTCATATTTAGAGTTTTCTGATTAGGCAGTTTCATATTTGCTTTAGAATTTTCAACACAAACAATCTTTGGATTAGATTAGAAGCTATTAAACAAGCCGTAGAAGAAAATACTTTACATTTGGAGTTGATATTAAATCATAAGGTGATAGCGGTTATTTGTATTATTATTATTATTATTATTTTTTTAATATTAGTTTTTATTTTATTTCATTAAACTTAAGTTGTGGCACTTCACAACAAAACAACTTAATTTAAAGCATATTTAAGTCTAAGTTATGAAATAGCTTTAAATTGCATTTAAAGTTAGACAATCTTTTATTTAACAATTCTAATATTTTTTGTAGAAACATAAACTAGTGTTAAATTCTTTTTTAGTTTACAAAAAAAAGTAAAAATTATTAAGTTTTAATATTTAAAAAAATTGTTTATACATATTAAAACCTAATCATAAACATTATTATTTTAATTAATTAATCTTTTATATCACAATAATCACTACATAAATTATGTTTACACATTAGCATTAATGTTTTTTTTTTTCCATTCTGAGGCCTTACATTGTTGTATGCATATTTTTTGTTTTTGTTTATTAATTTTTTGGTTTTTTTAAGTTTTTTGTTTATCAAATTTTTGGTTTTTTAAGTTTTTGTTTCGTTATATATTTGTTGTACATCTTCGTTCGTATTATTTTTTATAATACAATTTTTATTATTATTATTATTATTGTGAGTACTATTTGGGTGCATTGTCTGTCTTATTTGTTTTGAAATTTTTCTCTATTAATCTTTATTTTTGTCTTGACAACTGCCAAAATATGCTTCGTTAGATAAATAATTATCCTTTATTCTAGTGTACTTCATTTCTTTAAAGTTTTTAAATAATATTGGGCCTAGCCCATAAGGGTTAGTGTTACCGTCATTGAGCACGACTATTTTCCAAATGGCAATTACTGTCACCGCGAAAGAGGATGTTTGTCTCTGGAAGATGCCTGGGTTAGCTTTTTAGTCATAAGTCAGTTATAAATCCATGCATAGTGGTGTTTAATCCATCATAGTTTTCTTGAGTATGGCTGGGCTGGCTTGGTTTGGTTCAGAGATAAACCTTTTACGCTGGTTACTAACAATACAAGACTTTACTGAACGATATAAACAGCACAGACTTACACATTGCACTTATACACCCTTATGCACATACAGCCTGTTTACATCCTTTGCATGCTTTTTGTTCTTTTATAGATAAACTATCTTTATTTGAACTCATCCTTGTTTAGATAATATTTTCTTTTAATAGATAATTTAGTTGCAAAAAACCGGCCAGATTTTTTAGTCGTTTTGAGAACATTTAAGTTTATGTATGTTTCCTTGTTTGTCCGCAAAATAATAAGTTCATTATTTTATCGTAAATTTTAAAATATTTTGCTTAACAGACTTACATGGAAACATAAATAAACTTGAATGTTCTCAAACATCTTTGTGTGGAAAAATAAAAAAAGATTATTTGCAAACACAAAAAACCCGCCAAATCTACTAACAACTATTTCTATTGGTTCGATTTGTGCGATTGATTTTGTAAACAAAAATACTTTCAATAATAACTGCATTTTCAATGAAATTATTAATAATCATCAAAGTTAATACAAATAATTATAAAAAGAAAGAAAAGTTTTTAAGTTCTTAGAAATTGGTTTACTAACTTCAATTAATTTTGCTTCAGCCATTCTTACAAACTCGTTATACTTAAACTTAAAATTACTTTTTTCTGTTTTGAATACTAATTAAAATTATAATGCCCATTCACTAAACATCATCAGCGGTATTGTGAAGCAGTTCCACTTTTTCCTCACTAAGTAATTTAATGTTTTTAGCTAATTTCTATCTAGCTAATTGACATTCTACAGTAACTCAATGAATTAATTATTTCATTTGTTTTTCTTACTAAAAAGAATTGTTTCAAATGTGTTAATCTTTTCAAACTATGTGAAGCGTAAAACAGTTATTGAAAAAACTTTTTTATTTATAAATAAATAATCTAGCGTTAGTTTTATTGGTTGAATCTTGTTGGACTTTTCAGGGCTGGGGGCTGCATTATTTTGGTGGCCTTTTTTAAATTTAGATTTAGATATGGTCTCAAAGTTTCTTTTAGTTCGGACTGTAGAGAAAACTTCACTTCTTAACAATTTTTTTTCCTGCTTCGTATTGTTTTTATATCACGATTTATATCATTGTTATATTACCCATAACTAATTTTTTAACCACTCATTTGGCCTAAAATTATCTGGTTTTATTACAATATTTAGTTAGTCTTATTGCAATATATATTATTCATCTCCTGATTTTCATATTATTACTGTTAACAAGGAACTTTTATGTTATATTATCTTGCATTCATTACTCAGGTTTGTTTTAATTTTCACATGCACAATTTTCATCTTTAATATTATTCAGAAAATACTTTTATATCCTTTATTTAATTTTTGCATATATCCCGCTTACATTTTTAAGGTTTTTGTGCTACGTTCTTTTTCGCTATCATATATTATTCAATTATTGTTATGATTTTGGGTTTCGTGGGTTGCTCATTATCCTACACTTTTGATTGGTTATCATATTTCGAATGAGGTTTTTATGACAGCGTTAGAGTTTTTTGTTGATTAAAATATTTTTTTTTTTAATGAGGTATACTGTATATATATATATATATATATATATATATATATATATATATATATATATATATATATATATATATATATATATATATATGTATATATATATATATATATATATATATATATATGTATATGTATGTATATATATATATATATATATATATATATATATATATATATATATATATATATATATATATATATATATATATATAATCAAATTCTATAGTTTTTTATCACACACAAATAAATTTGAATTGCTTAGGTTTTAAAATAAATTTAAATGTTTTGTTTTATTTAAGCAATTGGATAATGGGGAGAAGATTATACAGATTGAAACAGCTATTGGTGCTGCTATCAAATGCTTTAACAAAGCTATTGGTATGAACATTTTTTTCAATTTTTTTTTTTTTTCGATCTGAATTATACATTAGTTATAAGGTTATAAATTACTATAATATAGCATACAACAAAATATATGACTTATATAGGTTTAAACATACACAACTTTTTAGGTATATATGATTAAAAAGGTTTTTTAGTTATAGATATCAACAAAGGTCGTGCCTAAGTAATTTATCATTAGTTTCATCAACCTTTGCAACTACTTATCGTAACTTTTATTTTTTTTGAAAAATATAAAAGTTACAATAGTTTGAAGTTCATTAATTTTAATAATAATTAGTTCAGCAACTTAATAAATCGACTTAATAAATGAATAAATTTTTGAAGTCACTGCAAATCAATCAGAAACTATTATTAATGTTTATTTATAAATGATAAGATTTTATTTAAAGGTTCCAATTTTGATTTTGATATAATTAACTTATTGTGGTAAGTTATAATCATTTGTGGTAAATTATAATCAGAGACATTTGTGTGCTATAAATTAATTTAGTTTTTTTTTTTTTAAGTATAATAATAAACTTATAATGACAAGTGGTAAAAATTTTACTAAAAAAACAAGTTTTTACAGTTTACATTAAAATTGTTTTATTGTATTTAACAAAGCCAAAAGTAAAAAGCTTTAAATTTAATCATAAGATTTAATATATGATAACTGTAGATTGTCATGACTTGTAGAAGTTAAGTTTACATAAATTGATTCGTAAGAAAAGTTGCAGTGAAATGTAATAGCTCCAACTAATAATTTTGTTTAAATTAGGACATTTTGTTTAAATGTAGACTATAGACAGGAAAAGTACAACTAAAATATTACATTGCTAATTAATAAAAGTATTACATTGTTAACCAATAAAATTTTTATTTTATTAAATCATGATAAATTTTGTATTGTATACAGTATAATTTTGTTTGAAATAAATATTTATTAACAAAAATTTTATTTACATTCATCGTATGCTTTTAATAATATTGTTTTTTTTAATATCATATTACATTATTTAATAAGGCTTTTGATTATTTGATATTATTTAATATTTTAAAATGTAAAGATATTTTTATACCAGGTGTAAATGTCCCTCGAAGTCGTTTTCTTCCTGTAAAAACTTGTTCTGATCTTCTATTGATTACTTCTAATCTTTACCACATGAACAACGGAACGCTTACAATGAACCCAAAGAGAAACTTTTTAACAACACCACTGGTGCAACTTGGAGAGCGTTTTCAAAAGGTAATCTTTTAATTTGTTTTAAAAAAATGTTATTAGGGCATAGTGTTGAAAACATTAGGGCCTAATGAACTTTCTAAATTACTAAATAATCATCTTTATGATTTATTTAATAGTTTTGTTTGTTTTTAATTTGGAAAATCCTAAATTGTTCTTTGTTTAGCTTATCTGTAGTAATGTCAAATGTAAACAAACATAAGACATTTAAGGTTAATTATTTTTAGCATAAACATTCAAGGCTAATTTAATTAACCTAGTGTTTTAGTTTATTTACCAATTTTTTTTATAATTGCTTTTTGTGATTTGCATTATTTAAGTTGTTTTTATAACATAAAATCAGTTATTTATTTTTGCAAATTAAAATCACTCTATAAATCCATTGAATACAGGTAAAGATTTTGAAGGAGGCTAGATCTTTTTTAGATTTTTTAAATCAATATCCTAAATTGATTCTTGAATAATTTATCTGTATTAATTTTTTATGTAGGTGAAGGAATACTTAAATCGTTTTGAAACAATACCTGATATAATTGAGTTAGATCATTTGACAGTTGCAGGTGACGTTACTTTTGGAAGAAATGTAACTCTTAAAGTAAGTTTTTCAGCTTATCATTTTTTTGTTTGCATATTCAAAGCAACTAAAAGAAATAAAAATATTTTAACTTTTAATTTCTTTTTTAATTTCAAAGTTTATATTTTATTGCTCATTTTAATTCTTTTTTATAATAAATCATAGTTTTTATAATAAATCATAGTAATCAGGTTTTTGCTATTTTTTTTTTAATAAATAGTTTATTTTAGATTAACTTTTTGTGATTACGGCATATGGTTTAACTGATAACTGGCCTAAATAACTAAGAAATCTTTTTTTTTTTAATTTTTGTCAGTTCACCACAAAAACTAATATAGAAAAATGTATTTTTTTAAACAACTTATAGTGAAATTTATTATTTTTAGTATATTATCACTGAATTGAGCGTATCAAAACTAATAATTTATTTTTTGGATTTTAAAGAAAACTGAATACAAACTGAATACATTGAATGTTTTAAATCCATTATTTTATAAAGCTGAAAAAGTGTTAAACTTTTGACACCATAATCGTAACATTTTTTTTAAATATATACTTTACTTTAGTATCTTTGTTTTGCTCTGAACATCTGTTCATAATACTTTTTAATCTTATTTTTTTTTATTCTTTCTCTGTTTCTAATTTTTGCCAATTTTTCACTTGGGCTTGACAGCTCGGTCTAGTCTTTTGATGCATACTTTTTCATTTTTTAAAAGTAGTGCAACCATTCACAAATAATGTGACTTGATTTGATTTTATTCATGATGATGAAAATTTTATTGATAAGATTTTTAAAACTGAGGAATTCTTGTGAAGCAAACTTATAGTACAAGAACAAGTTTATATTTACAAATAAAGGAGTATTGTTACTACCTAATTACAAGCACTGCAAATGAGCTAGTTCTTTAGATAATAGTTATAGCAATTTACCTATTATTATTAGTTTTTGTCCAATCAGTTAAATCTAAAAGAGTAAATTTTAACAATTATGATGCAGAAAAAATTAAAAAAAAATTTACGTCAGCATGTTTGTTATTTGCAATTTCTCTTTTTATGAAATATCTATTGAATATTTAAAATTGTAGCATTATATAATATCCGTTATATGGTACCATATAATATTATGAGAGTAAAGGGATGAAACTCCACTTATTGTGAATAATATTGGAGCATCTTATAACATGTACCAGAAAAATCTGCGCGTGTTTTAATGTGGTGTTTACAGAAACTGTGCATTACTTTAATTAAGCAATTGTTTTAAAATGTCATGTGAATTAGTTTTATTCAAAATTTTAAAAACTCTGTTTTCAAAACAATTTTGCATTTTCTAATTGAAAATCCAGGTGTATCAAACAAAACAATTTCTAAAAAGTTGCAGATTGCTTCGAAAGCCGTGTAAAGTGTTGTAAAACGAAGTGGAAGAAAAAAAGTTTTTGTTTTATAAGTTCTTATAAAAAAAAGTGAAAGATGTCTTTGACAGAAATCTAGAGATTTCTGTTTGAACTTTAAATAGATTCAAGATTCCATTACACAAAGAATGAACATAAATCTTATAAAAAGAAAAAAGTTCTTTGTTGTGAAGAAAAGCAAGAAGATGTTGCAATTCGTCGTTCAAAGCTGCTCTAAAAAAATCATGTGCTAAAAAATCTTTTTTGATTATTGATGATGAAACTTATTGTGTGGCATGTATTTCTGATCTCTTCCAGGACACCAATATTCAGCAAATAGTCGCGAAAAACTGAATTCCAAATATAAATCCATTGGAATGCAAAAATTCACTAAAAAAATATTAGTTTGGCAAGCAATTTGTGAATCTGGTGAAAAGAAGCTTTTGTTTTGTGACTACGAGAAAAATTGAAATTAAAGTATACAACAAAGAATGCATCAAGAACTTTTTTTTGCCGTATTTAAGATCTCATACGAGTAATCCGTAATTTTGGCCCGATTTTGCATCATATTATTACTCTTGGAAAACTTTAAACTGGCTTAGAGAACATAAAGTTCATTTCGTTGAAAAACACTGCAATCCACCAAATTGTCTCCAATTACGTACTTTCAAAAGATATTTGGCTAATGTCAAAGGAAAACTAAGTTTCAATGTAAAAGAAGCTAAGACTTCAATAATAAATGGATAAGAGCTACCAAGAAAGTCCAGCCGAAGACCGTGCAAAAGCTGATGTCGAATGTAAAATGTAAGTGTGTGCGTTCTCAGGCACACAACTTAACAAACTTAAGTAATATTAAGTAACAAACTTAAGTATCTATTCCTCTATTTTTTCTTTTTCCAAATACGGCGTAGATGAACTTAATTTTTTTTTTTTTTTTTTTTTTTTTTTTTTTTTTTTTTGTGTGTGCAACAAATTGTTTAAAAATTACTTGGTAATGTTAAGACTCTGGTGTAATCAGCTCTTTTGTAGAGTTTTAAAATTATAATTTGATAAGAAAGAAATTCTAAACAAATTATAATTTTCTTTTCGACATGGTGTATGTGTCGTTTTTTTTTTTAGGGTACTGTAATTATCATAGCCAATCATGGTGAACGTATTGATATTCCATCAGGTGCGGTTCTCGAGAACAAGATAGTTTCAGGAAATCTTAGAATTTTAAACCATTAAGAATGTTAACGCAGTTTGTTAAAACTTTTTACAGATTTTCTTGTGTTTTAGTCTAATTTTTATTTTAAAATTGTATTTTATAGTATTCAGATAGTAGATAACGCATGCATGTTGTCATTTGGCTTAAGGAACTTTTCTTTCTTATTATTTTTTTTTTTTTCGTTGCTTTTTTGATACCTTTGTTTTTGTATATTTTTTGTTGCTATGAGTTGCTATGTACGTTGCTATGCGTTGTGTTTTGTATCGTGTATGTTACTTATTTTATTCTTGTGGGAAAAAAATCTTTATTTTATCAAAATGATAATTTTATCTTAAATTTTTAAAAATATATTCAAATTTTTATTATAATGAGCTTAAAATTTTAAGAATTATTTTATGTATTTTTTATGAAAATTAATATAATAGTTGACATTTGAAATTTTTTTTTTGTCAAGACCATATACTGCTCTAAAAAATTACAATTCTTTTTAAAAATAATTGATAATCATGAGCGAATGGTATCTATTTTTAATAGTTGGTGAATTTTTTTTTTCTATATTACCAACTGGGCTTCAATTACAGTTTAGATTTTGTGTTGAAAGAAAAAGAAAAGTTTTGTATTAAAAGTAAAGAAAAAGTTTAAATCAAACAAAAACAAAATTGTTTATTTATTTTAACAAAAAATGCAATTCAAAATTAGAATTTAAAAGCTTCAATCTTTTTAATGCCGGTTTTTATTACATCTTATTTTATTAGATTTTATCGAAAATTGAGAGTAAAAAGGAAGAAAAATGGATAAGATGCTGCTTAAGTCTTTTACTTGTAAATTAATAAATTTTTCACAAATTTTTGAAAATTCATCCATTTTCCATAACTTTTTCATTTTTAAAATAAAACATTACACTTTTTTGAAAAAATCGTGCTTTTTTGATTGCATTTTAGCGGCCGTGGCGCAGTGGTTACAGCGTTTGCTTTATAGGCAGGAGATCCAGATTCGAAACGAGCTCTGGACATATTTTCGTGTCACGGTAAGGAAGGAGGCGTGAACTTCCTGGTTAAATGCACTTCCACGGTGCTCTGTGACGAGTTAGGTCATCTTGGGGCACCTAAATGAGAAACAAAAAAAATTGCTTTTTGTTTTTAAAGAATGTTTCTTAAACATCTTATATACGAGGCTTAGTCATTGTCGGATTTCAACACTATTAATTTTAAAAAGATACCAGCATTCAAGGCACGTGCAATCTCTGATAATTTTGGCTTTTTACACAGTGGACACGCACGTAAAAAAGACGTCTTTTAAACGTCTTATACACATTTTGGACGTCTTTTGAAAGTTCAAAAGACGTCTTTTTTTGGTCCAGTGCCCACTGGGTAGGAGGAAAATCATTTGACACTTTATCTATCTCCTTTTCTACCTCAACAAAATCTTTGATTAAAATGACATTCAGAATTTCTTGATCTGTGTAGCAATTATTTCACTTGTACAGATCTTAAGATCTATATTTACGTCATCCTCAACAGCTAATTCTTTATCTGATAAATCACGTGATTTTCTCTTCAAACAACTTAAAAGATCAGGTTCACCATTTATATTTGCAATCTGAATTTCCTGCAAGATACCTGTTATTCTAAAACATTTCTTTACAGTGTTTGTCTATACAGCGTCTCATGACCTGACCATACTCAAAGCTTCAAGAAAGTTAATCTTTGGGGGCGTTTTACCAGCATTGATATATTTTATCTGACATGACAACATTTGTACAATAAAAAAAAAATGACAACAGTTGTGCAATAAATAGCTTTTAATGCTCATATTACTATCTGGACTCTATCTGGTCTATAGGTAGAGTTTTGGAGATTGTGTTGGATGGTAAAAATTTAATTGCTATGAGGTTATCAAGACTTGGATGAGCTGTGCAGCTATCTACAATTAGAGCAAACTTCCTACACTCAGCATTGAACTTTGCTTCAAGACTTCTTACATAATCAGTAAAGATTTAAAGTCCATCGAGGATTTGTTTTGGAACTTGTATTGTCAATGTAGTCTTATAACACCTTTGAAACACCGTGGTTTTTCTGCTATTTCAATTATCAACATAGACAGCTTAAGATCTGTACAAACACGTCAACCTCATTTCCAGCTACTAGGTCAGTTAAAACTTTGCTAAATTTTCCTCATGCACATCTTTCATCTTTTAGATGAAAGATTTTTGTCGAAAGCTGTTGATAAAATAAACCGAATTTGTCAGCGTTGCATCAATCACACCTCAATTTATAACCCGGAAAGGATCATTAGCAATTGGGCCTGCTCCCAACTTGCTATCATTTCCTCTGTGTACAACTTTTTTTAGCCAGAAATAGTTCGAAAAACAATATTATATCTATTTTTCTTCCGATCTAGCCACCCTTCTAAAGCCTTAAAACTTGTTATGTTGAGTTTTTTTGTAAAATCTAAAGCTTTCTCACTAAGACGTTCCAAAAACCATTAATATACAGTTTTATCAACGGAATCATGCGTTCCAAAATTTAACTTTTTTCTCTTTGCTTCAAATTGATCAGACAATTATGTCTAATCCAGTTAGTTGAAGTGTTTTTGAGAAACACTAAAAATTTGGGCTACATTTTTTTTAGTTTGACCTTTTTCCAAATCTTTATGATCAAGACATTTTTCCTTCTTAGCCTGTAATAAAAAAGCAACTCGAATTTACTGAAAACAAAATGTGGTGTACCCCAAGGGTCCATTCTTGCTCCTCTTTTGTTTCTTATTTACATAAACGATCTCCCAAATGCCTCTAATATTTTCAAAACTATAATGTTTGCCGATGATACAAACTTATTTAACTCATCAAAGTCTATTGAAGACTTATTTAAAAAAACAAATAATGAATTAAAAAAAATTAATATATAGTTTAAATCAAACAAACTATCACTCAATAAAACTAAATATATTCTATTTCACTTAATAACTTAAGCTTCCCCTTAACCTACCAACAATTAATATATAGAAAATATAATCATCGAAAGAGCTCAAAATACAAAGTTTTTAGGTGTTCTAAGTGATGAACACATCTCTTGGAAGCCCCACATCAACTATATAAATACAAAAATATCAAAGAACATAAGTTTACTTTATAAGGCAAGAGCTTTCTTGACACAAAAAAGTCTAATATTCGTTTATTTTTCATTCATACATAGCTATCTTATGTATGCCAATATAGCATGGGGCAGTACCCACTTAACTAAATTAAAACCGCTTTATCTGCGTTAAAAGCACGCTTCAAGACTAGTGTTCAACAAAAACAAACTTACTCATGCTCTACCCCTACTGGAGCAAATGAACGCTTCAAATATTTTTCAATTTAATATTTATCAAAATATACTTTCATGTTTAAATATAAACTAAGTCTGGTTCCAGAATATTTTACAGCACACTTTTTTAAAAATAACGTAAACAATTACAATACAAGAGCAACGGGAAACTTTAAGATACCCTTTGAAAAAACTAAACTATCAAAATTTTCAATAAAACATCGTGGTCCCTATTTATTTAACAAAATAATTTCTAGAAACGATTCGCTAATAAATTTAAACAACGAACAGTCCCTGAAAACAAAGTTAAAATCTACAATAATCAAGTTAAACAACTACAAGGAGTTTTTTTAAACTCCAATTTAAAATTTAAAAATAAAAATAATATAAAACAACCCTAATAAAACAAAAAATGTAACTTTTCAAAGGAAACAATAAAAATAATACTAAAAGGAGATAGTAACATTAATAATTTTAAGGCATATATGTACCACATTCATATTTACCACGTATGCAACTGATTTTTATGTGTATTACACCTCAAGAAGGTACTCGATGACAAGACTGACCCAATCTTCTGCGAGCTTCCTATAACTATAAACAATTAATTATTTTCTTCAATCTTATACAAATCTTGTTTTTATCATACTTTTATATATATATATATTTTTATTTTAATTGAAAGAATATAGAAGGTTTATTTCTTGGGTAATTTTTACGTTCACGTTATTCTATTGTGTACTTTGTATTTATTTTTATCATGTCTCAAAGTTGAATGTAACAATATTTTAGATTTATCCATTTTTTATTTTGGACTTTATGTTTACGATATTTATATTTGTATATCTTTATTTGCCAATCGGTGATTGGCCAATTGTAAATACTTTGTAGTTGTAAAATAAACATGTTAAAAAAAAAAAAAAAAAAAAAAAAAAAGTGATATCTTCTTTTTGTGTAGGAGCTATGTTGAAGTTTTCAATGCACTACGTTTATTCTGTTCAATTTTTGTGTTATATTTTGATAACGTTATTGTTTTTGCGTGTGTGTATATACGCATATGTGTGAATATGTATGTATTTGTATGTGTATGCATGAATGTATGTATGTATTTTTGTATGTATGTATGTATATTTGTATGTATGTATGTATGTATGTATGTATGTATGTATGTATGTATGTATGTATGTATGTATGTATGTATGTATGTATGTATGTATGTATGTATGTATGTATGTATGTATGTGTATGCATATATGGATATATATATGTGTGTGTGTGTGTGTGTATGTGTACGCGTATGCGTATTTTCGTATGTACATGTATGTGTGTATAAAAATGTTTGTGTATGTATGTATATGTATGTGTTTGTATGCGTATATGTATATATATATATATGTGTGTGTGTGTGTATATGAATGTATGTGTGTATGTATATATATATATATATATGTATATATATATATATATATATATATATATATATATATATATATATATATATATATATACATACATACATACACACAAACACAAACGCCATATTTTATATGGCAGCTGGCCCGGTGGGCCGGCTGCTATAAAAAATCTTGTGCTAATAAAAATCTAATATATAGCAAATCTACCGGCTAATTATATAAATTTTAGCGCCCATTTTGATCGGATTGAAAGTAGTATTATATTAACGTAAACAAACCAAGTTAGTTACCAAATGTTAAACACTGTGTTTTATAATTACGTAGCTTTTAAATTTGATGTTGTGTGTATATTGTTTACTGACAAAAAAGTACCGTAACAGGGGGTTACCTTGGCCTGCGGGGTTACCTTGGCAATTTTTAAAAACGTTAATTAAGCATCTCTAACTTTTAAACAGTAGAGTAACGTTTTACTATTTTAAATAGTAAAACATTGCTATTTTAAATAGTAAAACATTACTTAACTGTTTAAAAATTACAGATGTTTAATTAAATTTTTTAAAAATGGCCAAACTAACCCCGCTGGCTAAAGTAACCAGTTGTTACAACTATAATTATTTTTTGAAACCCCCATCAGATTTTTGAAATTTTTGAAATTTTTAAATTAAATTTT